TGTCTTTTGAAATTAAAAACCACTTTGAAGTTGCTCAATCCTTTTTAGCTCCATCCCAACTCTGGCCTTAACAGCTGAAACAATATTGGAAGAAAAGTGTTTCCATCTTGAGAGCTGAAACAAGAGTCTCCTCCAAGTTCCTGTTTAGACCTCTCCTTAGAGTTTACAAACTCCTCCAATACATTCTTTAGCGATAATTTACAACTTGTAATTGTAGGTTTCCATTCACCACGAGTCAACACACTTTAGTTCCAATTATGTGCTCTTCAAACGCAACTCCTACTCACAAATTCACAAATTCACCATTGAGCGATTTACACAGAAAAATTACAAATTGGACAACATTTTGATCGCAATCGAACAGGCCCTGTGACGAATTGCCTAAATCGCTGAAACAACCTACGATGAAATCTCTTATCCGATCAAGCAATCTGCGATATAATTCCTAAATCGATTAATCAGTGACCGATATAATCTTTGATCGCTTGAGTTCTGACCGATTCAAACACTAAATCGCTTGAGCAGAGACCTAAATCGATCAAGCTATAAGAGAAGAACTACCTAGTCTCCGACGTAAACCCTAAATCGATCAAGCTCTGATCGATGAACACATTAAATCGGTTAAACAATGACCGATATAGTCTTTAACTCGCTCAAATAAATTCCCCTAAATCGCTCAATCTGAAACCTATTGTAACCACAGTCCGCACGAGCTGTGACCGATTTAACTCTTGATCGCGCGTGATTTAATCCTTATCCGCTCAAACCTTGAGCGATTTGCACCCTAAATCGTTCATAGCATGGGAGATTTACAACTTATCCTCTCACAACTCGAGATGTAGTAAACGATTTAAAGATGTCCTTGTGTTTGATTCAGATGAAGATGAAACAGTTTAGTCTGACGAGCAATTTAGGGAGAATGACTGTCTGTTCGATTTAGAAGATGAATGAACCTGCTGAGTGGGATGTTGATCGATTTAATAGAAATCCGGGTAATGAAGTTGAGCGATTTAAGCTTGAGATGAACAAAAGTCCTGAGATTTAGACTTATGTGATGAAAATGAACTGAATGTATGATGGGTTGTTGAAAAAAATAATAAGATGGGCCAAAAACTGTTGGGCTCAAGAACAAGACCTTGAGCGATTTAGACACCTAAAAAAGATCAAAGACATCAAAAACACAAAAAATTCAACTTTTTCAACAAAAATTGGATCAAAATCTGAATTTTTCAAGAACATCAAAACTTTTAAAACACAAAATCCATTCAAATCTCAAAAAGGAATGATAGAATCACAAAATGTTATGAATAACAAAGATTCACGGTGTAATTCCGCACAGATTGATCATGATTTCAACACGAAAACACAAAAAAAAATTGAACAAATTTGGATCAAACTTAAAAAAAAAATTAGAACACGAAGAACACAAAAAATTCAGAAATTTCTTAAAAAAATCTTCAAAAACAATGATTTATTCTTCTGATTTCGTGCACAATCCAGCTCTGATACCAATTGTAGGTCCACAATGATCAATTTTCAATATAACATGTAAGAATCCATGACATAATCTTGATAAAGCATTAAGAACAATATGAAAGAGATGAGAGAAAAAGTCAATCTTCACAATCTAGTCAAACCTTCTATTACGTAAATAATATTACAAATGAGCTTCACTCTACAATTACAAGACAAACACCCTATTTATAGGATCAAACTATAAAGCCCTAGTCAAAGTCAAACCTTACAACAACATCAAACATGATGTCTATTTCAATTATAGACAATTTTATCTTTCAAGACGAATACAATTTTACACAAAATTTCATTCCTAACACATCTTCACATGACTAGTACTCTATCATAGGCTTGCAAAAATTCTCATTCTCCACTGCTAGGAGTGCATGCATGATACAAATTAAAAGGTCGTTTTCACGTGTTGTAATGTTGGCTAAAGTAGGATAGTTATGGTAAAGTGAATTTTGAAAACTGTTAAAACTAAGGAGCATTGTGAGCGACAAATTAAGAGCATGTCACATTGTCCTTGTCCATTTGAAACTCTTGAATATACTTTCCTTTCGCTTCTATCATTGCAACTTTGTTCATTTTTTCCTCCATCTTTTTCTTTTGAATTCTTCTTTTTTCATTTTCATTTTTTTCATTGAGTCCTTTTTTTTTAAGTTTCATTTAATTTTTTTTCTCAAGGCATTGCTTTCATCCTTTTCTTCTTTTAAACTCACAACTTCAAAGTCTCAACCATGCAACTCCTTGGTTTAAAGTCACAGCCCCAAAGTCGTAAGGTTGGATAGGAAGTGTTAGGCTCACGTGGCTTGTAACTGAGGTGTATTAAATGAACGAGTTTATAGGCTCAAAATTGGTTAAGCAAGCGGATTTTTCTTTTCAGGGTCGAATTTTTGGCTAAAGGTTGTTAATATTCACATCAAAGACGACCTTTATCACTTTTGTTTGCAAGCATGACTCAAATGCAGCATTGAAGAGAATAGATGTAAGTTCTAGAGAAACCAATACACATGAGGTCTAGTACACATATGAAGTGAACTAAGACTAATTTGGATGTTTTAGTCATGAGGCTCAAATGTCTCACGGGTTAGATGGGTTCACCGAATCAATCAATGCTAGTTTGAAATAGTATATGAAACAATCATATATCACTAAAAAGGGAATTACTTTCGTCAAAACTACATCAAGAAAACGTGATGTTTACTGTATTAAAACTTGTTTTGACTTCCGATGAGAATATGGTTTTAGAAATTTATGTGACACTCCACAAGAAGTCGCCAAGTGAAAGTAAGCAAGTATTTGATTATAATAAAATTAAGGGCGGTTTGTTCTATAAATTGAATCCATTCCAATCTCATGGTTGGTTTAAAGAAAAGTTGAAAATTGAAATCTCATAAATATTGGATTTAGAAATTCCATGGGGCTAGATGGTATCTCACGGGATTTCATAATATTTGTTTGTTACAACGTTTTAAAATATGTTTAAAGCATTCGTTAATAATGAATTAATGGAAGGTAAAAAAAATCAAATTTTACAAATCAACATACTATAGATTCGAAATCCTTCCACAAAATTCAAATTTCTCAAAACTACTCTGTCAAATCAAATGAAAGCTAAGGCTTTGTTTATTTTTTTCATTTTCAGCTCTTAATTATCACTTATATCTTATTCGTTCAGACGGTTTGTAATTCAGACTGTTTTTTTCCAGAGTCTCTTATCATTTAATAGGGTCTGAATAAATAAGAGGCAAAATTAATATCTTAATTCCTCTTAATTCCCCTTTTTCTTTGATTTTCTTTGGTTATTGCTTCTTTTCCACTAAGGACGCCACCATCCTTTCATCACCATGTGAAATGCACGCCCTCACTTTCTCTCTCTATAGATTTCTCTCTCTCTCTCTCTCTCTCTCTCTCTCTCTCTCTATATATATATATATATATAATTTTTGTACGTATAGTTTAGCTTAAAAGATTAATGTGAAACAAAAACTTCTATCGATGATCTATCCTCTATCAAAAGTATTGATCTTTCCACAAACAAACTCACTGACGGTATTCCCGATAGCATTAGAAGTCTGAAAGGTATCCAAAAGGTTATTACTGTTTCCATCTGTTAAGTAATTATTGAGATGAATTTTGGCAAGGAAAATTTTATGAAAATCAAAAGAATTTTGCAAAATGTTTGCACCTGATTTTACAAAAACAAACTATTGATTCAGATATCAGACTTCAGACGTTTGTCAATTTACAAAAACAAACAGTCTTATTGGTTCATATTCAGATTTCAGCACCACCTCTTATTAATCAGAAGTGAAATAAGACTTCATATTTTAACACCTCTTAAAAAACAAATGTCACTTAAAAGTTTGCATGATCGATTTTAGAATTCAAAAAATCCGTAGGCAGAAATGATGTCTTGTCGAAAACTGATTAAGTGTTCATAATAATTGTTTTAAACGGGTCTCATTTTACTATATTCCTGTATTCTATCTTTTGAAAAATTAATTTTTAAACATTTTTTTAAAACTTAAATGTCTGAACAACGCAAAATAACCCTCCTGAGTCCTGTTAGAATGGCTGGAATTAACAATTCCATCCTTACTTGGTAAGCATCAACGGAACTAACGGAATTCAACTTCCATAACACGATTGCAGGGGCAGACTTATCTTTATCAACGGGGGGATTCATATGTATAAATTTTAGAATTTTGTTTTTTTACTTATATGTGTTTAGTTACCTCAGTAACTTTTGACGGTTCGCCTCAGTGGCTTAGTCCGTTTTAATGAAAGCCCCCACTCTCTTGTCTGACGGTCATTCTTCCCGTATATAGTTATCACTACTTCTTATAATCATCTACAGACTACAATGATAATGTTGGTTGATGCTTTTGTTAAATATACCTCAATTTCTTTCTCTTTTAGTTTTATATATGTTCAAACTAGTTCATCTAAAAGGAAATTGTATAAATTAAATAATAATATATTTTGCTATTTGTTTGACCGATATGGTAAACAAATAATCGAACCGTTTAACCCGCAAGACAAATAATTCAAAATCGTTTTAGTTTGGGTGAGTTATTCGTTTTCTTTCAGATTCTTTTATACCCTAAGGCCCCACCTAAGTTTCTCGATCCGTCACCGAGTATACGGAACATGACATAACCAAAACTTGTAGTCCATGTTTTGTGCAATATTTAGACAAAGACATGACAGAACTGAGTGGGACAAAAACGTATTTTTTGTCCCACCAAAATAGATGAAACAAAAATCAAAAAGATTTGACGAGATTGATAATTTATTTATCTACCAATGTCAGATCAAAACTCTAAAACCGTACATAATTTTTCATCCATCTACGTCGTTCTTCCCGTCAATTCAGTGTCAGTCTGTATAACAAAACTCACCCTAATCAATCCAACTCAACCCACATACCCACTCTTATGATCAAATATTGCAACCAATTAGCCTTACCAATTTCTCATGCTTATGATCAAATCAATTTATTCATTAACAAACAAACAACTTATTAACATAACAATACATCACACACATAAATCGATGCATCATTGAGTTGTACTGTACAACTCCGTTAATACTTGGACATAAAAACCGTAACAAAATTCCACATAAAATCTAGTAGCAGCAAATACTTAAAGAGAATAATAAAGCCCATAAATAAAAAGCCCAATAAAGATTAGGGCTGAAAGGCCATTTAAATGGGTTGCAGACGATGGGCTGGGGCCCATTGCAGGGACCTCACGTGGCTTTACTTGTACCGGCAACTTAAGACCATTTTTGCACTTGTCGTACGACCCACTTGCGAAGTAGCGGATACCTTCCTTTTCTAGGGGCACTTCATTCACGTGATCTGTATACATCTTTATGGGGTTGGTTAGATCACACGAATAGTATTCTTCCATGCTTGCAAGTTCCACGATGATCTCGTGCGGTGAGAAGTACCTGAACACTGCCTCATCATAAATAAGTTAATAATTGTATTATATTATTTAGAATCACTCGACACAGCAAAATAGTGTGAATTCAGATAATTTTTATTTTTTATACTTAAAAGTTGAAACTTTAAAATAAAACATTATGAAGAAAAAAAAAATCACAACTCTCGCATACAAATCACAACATCGTAAAAGTTACGTAAATCCAACCCTATTAATAGATTCTTTATATTATTATCTAAAATAAATATAACATAAAAAGCTTCAAGTTTAAATTTTTTAAACCTTCATATTGATTAGAATGATATATTTTTTTAATTTTTTTTAACTAATAATATGGATTATATTATTAGTTTATATACAGTTTTTATTATAAATTTACATGATATTTTAAAAATATAATTAATATTAATCGAATATAATACATTAAACATTTTTAACAAAATTTCCAAAGTTTCTTCAAAATCGATAATCAAAAATCAAAATTTTCCAAAAAATAATACTAAACTCCATTAGCTTCTTTATTTTGCATACTACAAATATTAATTATATCACTAAAAATATTTAATATATTTAATAAAATATTATTTTTATTTTCTCAACATTCTATTTAGAGAATTCATCTCTCTTTTCTTACCATCTTCAACCAACCATTAAAAAAACACTAAATATACTAAAACACTAAAAAAATCAACTCCAACATCACATTAAAACATCTTTAATACTAAAATAATAATAAAATAATATATAATATATTTACATATACATATATATATATATACACACACATATATAGGACGATAATCAAATAAATACCAAAAAATGTTATAAACTTGTGAAAATAGATATAAAAATATATTTTTATATGATTTTTCTCGTCAAAACTATGATTTAAAATATTGTTTCACATATGTTTTTATTCACCTTGTGGAAAAAATTTAACATGAAACTTCTTTATTTCTTTTTTTTTTTTCACTTGGTGAAACGAAAAATTTACATAAAAAATATTCACTCGGTGAAACGAAAAATTTACATGAAAAAAATTCATGTGGTGAAACAAATAATGTAAAACTATCACATTATGAAATAAATATATGTGAAACAATATCTTAAATCCTAGTATTTAATAAAAAATATATATAAAAAATTATTTTAAAACAATTCTCACATTTGGAGTTCTTGTGCAAAAACATTGATTTTTTAACTAAAACAATATCTTTGATTTATCCTATGTATGTATGCATATAACTATAAAATCTTTATTATATAAAATGGAGGCCTACTTTGTTGACCTCTATTTTTTTAATGTTTTAATCTTCGATTGAAAATAAAAACATCTTCATTTTTGTGTTTATGTTTTGGGTTGTTTTAAGAACTTATTTTTTTTTTACTTTTTTTACTACATCACTTTTAACTTACCAAATTTTAAGAAAAAAGTATATAAAGTCCACAATGATAGTTCTTATAATAAACATTTTTATGAGTCTTATTTATTCTATTTTAACATCAACTATTATATAGAATATACATATTAAAATATATAAAATTAAGAAAAAGTATAAAAACTAACAAAATATTACTTCACACCAAGTTCAAGATAAGAATCAAAGTTCTTGTACAAAAATTTAAAGGATGTGAGATTTTTTTAAGAACTCTCTAAAATAGTAGTTTATATAAGAACTGCCCACCGGAGATGCTTACAAGAACCCAATTGTTATATTCTTTTTGTCACATCATTTTCAACTTACCAAATTAAAAACTTAAATCCATATGATTTTATTTACTAGAAGGGTACTCCCGTAATGCAGTGAAATAATCCATTTTAATGTTTTGTTTTTATTCTTTGTTTCTGTCAATATAATACGATTTTATGTGGTTTTAAGAAAGCGATAATGTTTTTATTTTTGAATTAAATATAAAATTTGAAGATAGCATAAAAAAAATTTTAAAAATAAAATCGATATTAGTATCAAATTAACTATTTAATAGTTCTCGTTTTTTTGGTGTAACTGTTTTAATTCAGTTTATTATTATAATTTATATTAGGTTTAATAACAAAGTAATTTATTTTGGGTTTAATAATATAATTTTTATTAAAGATAATAATTAAACATTTTGTTGGAAACTCAGTGATTATCTTAATTATATTTTAGATTTTCTATATTTAAAATAGATGTTTATTCTATACTTGATTATGTTTATCTGCAGTTAGTTACACGAATTTAAATTGGAGCTTTATTAAGTTATACTTACACAAAATCACTTGTAATCTTAAACTTTAAATAATATACATCAATAAACAATATTTCATACATAAAAAATATTTTTTAAGAGTTTTTATCAAATGCTTTAAACTATAATGTAGATAAGAACTTTGCATTGAAGATGCTCTTATAAATCTTCATAATGATAGTTCTTATAATAGCCTTAGATATTATTTTAACAATAATAATGATATAAAATATCATTTCACATAAAGTTTTAGTTAAAAAATCAATGTTTTTGCACAAGAACTCCAAAGATGTATTTGTCTTATAAGAACCTACCATTGGAGATGCTGTAATTTTAAGCAGTTGTTTTATGTATTTTGAATAAAATTTTGAAAATCCATTTGAATAGAAAACTAGCTTAAGAACCTAAAATCATCATTTCTATGTATTTAGAGAATCTATTGGAGCTACTCTAAGCTAATTATTTTAAGAGTAAACTACGATATTTTTTTTCCTCGTAGTTTATTGTTTATAATTATTTTCGTCTCTAATTTTAGTAATAAGCAGATAAAGTACATTATATAGTCTATTTTAGGGTTGACAAATAGTCGATAAAAAGTATTATACATATATATGGAGTTTCAAACATAAACCAATCTCAGTCGTTCATCTAATCTAATGAATATATGGTTTCATAAATATCTCGATTGTTTTTAAAAATAAACCATTGATTATATTAAAGAACTTTAATCATCTTCTATGAATATTTAGATAGTAATAGATGAACCTTATCATTCCCATGAATATCTCAATTGATTGGTTTGTATAGAGAATTTTAAATATAAATTATCTAATTAGTACAGAATATGCAAACCATTAAAATAAAATATTTATACAAATGATGAGTGGTTATTCATTATGATTAAGATATTTATGAAAAATAATCATGGCTCATTCATTATGATTAACATTTTAGACCAGAAAACAGTCAGATATTAATTGTGAAACTAGATAATCATTAAATTAAATAGACGGTTGAGATTGATTTGAACTATATAAAAGCTTTGTATTTGAATCTCCCTCTCTCTCTATATATGTGTGTATATGTATATATTATATATATATATATATTGAAATATCATTAATTTTCATTATACAGTTATTAACAACAAATTATACCAAAAATGTAAGCAACTTGAATTTGGTACATATTTGAGGAGCCACAATGAATTCGGAACCTTCATTTTATCAACGGATCATGATTCTAAACTTGTCATGTTGGGAACCCAAATGAAACCAATTCTGTCGTCATTCGTAAGATCTTTTTGAGTAGGGAATTCTAATTTTCATGTTTCTTAAAATACGAATAAAAACAAATTTGATTTTATTTCGATGCATTTTCAATTATTAACAATATAAATTATTTGTTTTTAAAAAGAATATATATAGGGTATATTTCAAATGTAATCATGTTTATTTGTACAACCAATGCAACTCAATCAATTGAGATATTTATAAAAAAAATGAGAGCTCATTTATTATGATTTAAATATTTATGAAAGATAACTAAAGTTCGTTAATTATGATAGGCATGGGAATGAGGTGGGGGTGGGACGGAGATCTCAATCCTCATCTCCATCTTCGTCCCCATCCCCGATTACTTATCGTTATCCCCGTCCCCATCACCGTCGGGGAATATAATCACATCCCCATCTCCATCCCCAATGGGGAAACACATATTTTTTTTCTGTTTTATGTAAGTTATTTTAAATTAAATATGTGAGAGACCATACATGTTTAAATCTCAAACATTTTCAATAAACCTAAAACCAAAATGAATTTATTTTAATACAAAAAAACCACAACATCATATAAGAACTAATAACCTAAAACAAAAAAATTCAAGTTAATCCAAAAAAACTTAAAATCATATATACCAAAATATATTGAGTAATATAAAATCATATCGAATAATATACAAAACTTATCGAGTAATTGTATTTTGACTTGATATCCAAAATATTACATATTAACATCCAAAAAAATAACAATTTTAGATTATAAAACTAGCTACAAAATAGGAAATTATGAATTATCGCTTTAGTTTTAATAACACATACACACACACACACACACATATATATATATATATATAATTTATTAATTAATATATATATATATATATATATATATATATATATATATAACGGGTACGGGGCGGGGAGTACCATAGCCATCCCTGTCCCCATCCCCGGTTTGAGGAAAACAGGGATCCCCGTCCCCATCCCCATCCCCGATACAGCGGGGAATTCCCGTCCCCGACTGGGGCGGGTGGACCGGGTTCCCCGACGGGTCGGGATCCATTCTCATGCCTAATTATGATCAATATTTTATGTTAGAAAACAATCAATTTTTTTATGAAATCACATATTCATCAAGCTAAATGGACGATTGAAATTGAGATTGAGTTGTATTGGTTATACAAATATAAATGATTGTATAATAACTTTCACGTATGTGTGTAAACAAGTTTTTCATGGAAATAGGTAGTAGTCGTACACTGTCTTCATGTTAGGTTCCAATCAATAAGTTGTTGGTTACTGCTTTTTTAAATACCGCTTTCTTCGTACACAGATTTTTTATGCACTCATATTTAAAGTGATAACTTAATTTCATCATACCATTTTTAATGAACTTATTTGTTTTTAATATAACAATTTACATTTTCGGTTTTTATGGTTTGTTAAAAATTATTATTTTCATTTTTATATTTTGAAAATAAGATTTTTATTCTTATAGTGTAGATTTTATTCTTGTTTTCGTTCTTAATATATAAATTGTTGTAGTTTTCGAAACTATAAGGACAAAAGTAGTAATTTTTAAAACCTTTGCTTTTTCACAACCAAAAAAATGGCTTTGAGATTAAGCAAACAAATAAGACGGTTTTATAAAAGCACAAATTGAATTAAAATTAGTTAACTTTGCTTTTGTTCTTGTTTAGAAAAATTAGGGGTTGTTTGGTAGTTGGTGAATGGTGTGGTGCAGGATGAATAAGTGACTCTCATAATATAGTGCAAAATGAAATATATTTATTTGGTAATTATTTATAACGAAATTAGGGCGCTGAATGGTGGTTAAGAGATACCCATGATACAAAATTATTCAAAGAGTTTTAGAATCATTAAGAGACAGACTTATTTTTTGTGAAACAAGATTCACCTCTTAACGATTCAGAAGTTGCCTCTTAATAGAACTATTAAAAGGTAAACAAGCAACCCCTAACTTATAAAGTTTATTTATATCAACTTTAAGTACTTATTTAAGAAATTTTAACAAATTCGAGTTTCCATAACATATTGAAAATGAAGTTTTCATTAAAATATAAATTTTGAAAATTGATTTTTCAAAATAAAAAATTTGGGGTTCATGCTCTCGGATTGATACTGTGTTGCATTGTGCGAGTAACCTTCTAATATAATATGAATAGTTTATTTCTTCCAAAATTTTATTCTACATTATATAATAAATAAAAATTCATTTTTATTTTCTACTATTTTCCACTAAATAGCATCTCTTACCATCATCAAAACCAATTATTGAAGTAAACTACTGTAAATTAAATTTTCACACAAAACTTATTACTCCAAATATTTCATTTTTAAGACCAATTTCATCAACAAAACCCTTCAGTAAATAAATAATATTATAAAGGCATTACAATAAGTTTATAGGATTCTTTTGAACGTTGTAATAAGTATTTTAGAATTAACCATTTTATAAAACACTTCTTCTGTAAACCCATTTTTGTTAGAGGACTTTTTGTGTTTATAGCACTTAAACATTTTATCTGTTTGCTATAAACTTGATATGGTTGTAATGATAATAGACGAGAAATAAATGAAATAATGCTTACATAGACTGTCTCCGACTCGGAAAATACGGCCGGAGGACCAAGGACCAACATCCGTGGAGGTATCTGATGGACGGTCACCGGAAACCACATGGTGTACGACCTGAGCTCCGGCAAGCTTTCCGGCGGCAACCACCGTGAGGATGAAAAGCCCCACCACCAACTTCATTGCAGGCATTATAATAAAAAAGTCGGTATAGGAAACAAAAATGAGAGGTCAATAAGGGAGGTTAAATAAAGACCAAGGGTGGCACGTGATTGTCAATTAAATCATTTCTTGATCACGTGAATGGCATTTTATATATATAAAAAAAGTTGAAAGCAGCTAAATGCCTAACCCTAATCCGTACCATACACCCGCCAAAATGGAGTTGGCTGTCGACATATTTATGAATGGATTTCATCCACAGAACTAAATTTTAAGATTAACGATCGTGATTTTAGTTCTTGTAGGTTTGAAATTTCAATTTTTGTCCTTGTGATTTATAACTTGTTGTTTTCGTCCATAATTTATAGGGATGACAAAAAAAACCAAAACCGATAATGAAAACCGAAAACCAAATCTTTTGGGCCAAGTTCTGGACATCTTATCGTAGACAGGGCGGGAATCAGGGACAAATTCGGGGATTTTAACGGAGACGGGGGCAGGGACGGTGATCACTGGCCCGGCCTGATATGTGTATATATTAATTTTAATTTACATACATACATACATACGTGTGTGTGTATATATATATATATATATATATATATATATAATCATTAAAAGAAAATAGTAACATTAAAATTTAAAATACTTTTATCCATTTTACCTCAACAACCCAAATAAGTCTCACGAAAAAAGTCTAGTTTATTTGTCTAATTGTGATTTTAGTTGTATGATGTTTGAATTTTTGTTTAGTTTTATATTGTGATTTAATACATTGTTTGTAATTGGTTCGATTATGTTTGAGACATTTAAACTTATATTTATAAAAAAGTTGTAATATACTTTTAGTTGTGAAAATTAACATATTGTAATTTTTTTAGATCGGTTTAGGGTTTCAGTTTCGGGTTCGGTTAAAACCAACGGTGAATGGGAAAAAAAAGGATTTTTACCCTTAACGAGTTCCCCAACGGGGATCAGGAAAACCGCGGGGACCCGATGGGGATCCCCGACGGGGATCGGGGCGGTTACGAGGACGATTTTAGTTATCGGTTTCGAGGACGGGGATATCAATAACCGGCCCGAACCTGGCCGTTGTCATTCCTAATAATTTATTGTTATTTTCGACTTTGAGACGAAATCTATTAAAAAAGGAAATGGTCCAAAATGACCAATCTTCGTCACAGGGTGAAATCAGCTTTTTGGTACAAATGAGTCCCACATGCTTAACAAAGAGGAGATAAAAATCTGATATTTCTAGAAAATTTAATCTTTGGGCCGGATTTTCGCCCATATATGGCAAAATATGATTTTTCTCGACATAAAGCCACCGATTTGACTACTCAATGGCACAAGAGTCAAAAATATTTGACTATGTAATTTGAGGACCCTTTATTCCCTTCTCGGCTTGAGGAAATTTATTCTGTGTTGGAGGGTTACATTTTGGTTTTAGCATATAGGAGTCCTGTTTGATTACAGGATTTTGATTTGGGGCTGGAATATCGCCCAACACATAGTTACAACTCCCCCCAATTAGGGAAAATTTATTTGGAGGAGACAGTTGAATGTGGATCAAAAGCAGGGCCTTTTTGGCGAGTAATCATTTTGGACAACCGGACCCAGACGAGGGCATGTGTGACCCTGATGACGACGATGTCCCACTGTCTGCAGCATGTCATTCATTTGCAGCGCATGTGTCACACCCTCCATAGTATTCGCCACAACCACGACATTTCATCTACGACACATGACGAAATTCCTAGATCCTATGAATTGGCATGTTGAATTCAAACAAATGGAGTTAGGGATTAATGAACAGTTCTCGTCAATGACGGGCCTTCTAAATGAAAAATATAGGTTTTTCGATGTGAGATTATAGAGTTGAGGAGGATGTGACTAAATGTTACTCTCAACCATCGGATATGTATATAATACACATAAACATCCAATCAAACACTTAGAAAGAAAATTCTTGTTTACCTTAGTTTACAAGGTACATATCGAATGTACTTCACTTGTTGGATATTACCTCATACTTCATCTGATCCTATTGTTTATAGGATTTGAATATATCACTCATTGGATGTATCCTGAATAGTTGAGTTTCATCTAAAAGAAAATATTTGATCCTAACATGATTAATTCCTCTATCGAAAGAAGGATTTTTGTCACTTTGTACTCATAGGATATCCGATGTAACTACTTCATAATTTTCTATAGATGGTAAATTCGATGTATAACTTATATATCATATATAGTTAAAGGTAGGATTTTTACTTGTAAAAGTTTTATAATTGTCTGTATTGATCCAAGAGAAAAATGACTTCAACAAAATCAAAGACTAGTTAAAGTGAGGTCAAGATCGTTACCAAAGAGGATTGGTTTGTCATTTAGCCAAAGAAGATCAATACAAGATAAAAAAGTCAATTAGTAGTCTAAAACATATTACTACTGGCAAGCCGAATCTTGAAGTACAAAATCGGCCAACATGTTTGGCTCACCAACTCTCTTACTTCCTTTCTTGGGCATATGGACATTTTAGAAGGGAGTATCGATCTATCTTACGATTTTGTTACTCTACTTCATCCACATATGGACATTTCAGAAGGTACTTGAGTAAGGTTTGTTATAGCAGTCCCTTATGATGGACGATTATTTGTTTTGTAAGAGTTGCTTAAGATGCCAGATGGGGGAAATATTAGTTCCTGAAATCAAATTCTCAAGTCCTTATCCTTATTTACGATATTTTTGATGTATGGGCTATGTATTTCATGGGATTATTTCCCATATTTTATGGTAGATTTTTCTCTAATTGGATAGAGCCAAAGGCCACAAAATTGACGATTCACCCATTATAGTAGATTTTATCAATTCATACATATTTCACATGTTCTGGATGCCTAAAGCCATTATTAGTGATTGAGGAACCTATTTGTACGAGTAAGTCATCAGTGCGCTCTTCAAAAGTATGAGGTTATCCATTTCATCTCCACTGCCTCTCATCCATAGTCTAATGGACAAAACTAGGTGTCCAATAAGGTGATCAATTCTATACTGAAAAAGACTATGAACCCCAACTAGAAGTTTAAAGTTTAAGGCTCGATGACGAGTTATCAGCTTATCGCTCGACCTACAAAACGTCTATAGGTATGTCTTCCTTAAGTTTGTTGTACGGTAAGCCTTTCCACCCCTTGATGTAATTGGAGCACAACATTTACTAGGTAGTGAATACTTGAAGCATGGGCCTAGATAAATTTGGCTCACATAGGAGGTTATCTAGAAAAGATTCGAAATGATGCCTATGAGAAGCTCCTATATACAAGGCAAAGTCGAAAGTGTTCTATGACTCGTGCATATCACGTAAGACTTTCACTAAATGCCATAAATTTCTTCCCTACCACTCTAGTTTGGAATTATTTCTTGGTAAGTTAAGGTCTAGATGGATAAGGCCTTCTATTGTTCTCGTTGTTTTTTTTAGAATGGTGCAATCGAGAATCAAAGTTTATCTACGAGCCATTTTTTAAAGTTAATGGCTATAGAATAGAGCCTTTCTATGAATGCTTTTATGAAGAAAGTCTAGAAAGAGTAGACTTAGACACACCAAGCTACATTAATTGAAATTATTAGCGTGTAGGAAAAGATGTTAAAGAAAGACATTATGTGAGAGGCAACCTACTATTTTCAATTTCTAGTTCTTCATTAATTTAGTTCTTTTAGTTGCTTTTATTAGACTCTCCATTTAACCAGAGTTTTTCTATTGTTCTCAGGTTCCACCTTGGATATTAGAGCGAAAAATAGGCGAGCCCATCTCTATGGTTTCATACATAGGAGGACTACTCACTAAGTCAGGGGAGTTTTTGTTTCTTTTTCATATTTCTTTGAGTTTCTTCTACATGTTGAATACTTAAGGACAATGTATGATTTAAGTGTGGGGGTAGGGTCATTTGCATGTTTTGCATGATTTAGGTAGATTAATGTTTTTTAAAGGAAGATAAGAGGCCAAGACCAAGCGAGACGGGTGGCACCACACATTGGCTGCTTAGTCATCAGGAATGTCAATGCTGACTTCGCTCAACTTATCTTTGACGACTTGGCGCTAAAGCTAAACAAGCGCCAAAGAGAGAAATTGGTCCTTTACACCAGGTTCCTGAGCGGGATTCTATCTAGAATCCTTACAACAAACTACCCCACTCAGAGTAACCTTCCCATCTGTAGGCTTGGATCAAGGATTCTTGATCACAAGTCCAAGCCTTCAGATATTGTCTATTCCCTCTAATGCTAAGGATATCCAATACTCCTTATACTTCTCCTCCTTCTTCTCCTCCTTCTTCTCCTCCTTCTTCTTCTGCTTCTTCTTCTTCT